TAGATGTCCGTTGGCCTAACTTGCCATATCACAGTACCACGAAATGAACTTTATAGGATATGTTTGTGGATAGAATTATGTAGTAGCTACCGCAAAGACTAAGGGTGTAGAACAGAATTCTGAAGGACGTCGCGGTGTGTCTAAAGTGTTATTAAGGTTCGAGGTAGGGAAATAAAGAGTGTCTAGGCCATAGTAAATGATATTGACTCGTTGCCTAGTGTCTCCGGCTGCGAATTAAGGCTATAATGCAGATCCCGACTAGGCAGTTTGCATTTGTTAATATGGTACGGTAGTCTCATAAACTAATATGTCTTGATTTAGCTGCTGTCTTCTGCTAACTTACAACGGCGAAAAACATTGCCCCTAAAGTTTGGTAGTAATTACGCATACGTGACCGGTGTCCTGGTCACCATATAACGCTCACTTAATTTCCAGCAAGTGTACGGGCTGCTCCCAAATGCTCACATGGCCACGTGTATATAGCCACTGTCGGGGACGTCCTACTCCCTTGTCGCGGCGGACGTTTTGTTTACGGGATTGAGAAGACAAGCGAATGTCCGGCGCTTTAACAGGGTTGGTAAATACGGAGAATCCCTATAGAAGATTTGGAAAACACTGATTCCGAACCAGCGGTGTACATGGGCTTTAGGATCCTTAGGAAACAAAAGACGTATAAAGCTATTGTTGATAACTGACTACCATGGGACTGCATTTATTTTCATTGTTTCACTGCCTTATCGGTCAGAGCTTTAGGTCGGAGGCCCCAGGTGTGACCTCCGAAGAAAACCACCTGCATTGTTCTGGGCACCCAGGCAGTATCACAGCTCACATAAAACTCAAGTTACTTGCCTGGCTCATATGTATTCGGCGCCCCTTTGTATCAATGTTTGTGTTCAAATAAGTAGAATACACGGGCTGCATGGGTGTCTGTCCATTGGTAGCAGCAGTCTGCTTTTTATTACATAAAATCCCTGGGACGAAGTTTTATAAATTAGGGGACATGCGTAGTTTGTTATCCTTTAGTCTTCGGAGTTTCAAACATGTTAGTGCTATTGTTGTCATGATTGAGGTTCTAGGTAAAGATGACCATCGACTGTAGTGCCTAGGCACGCTCAATGCGTTCTGACCATCGTTCCCTTGACATGTTGTGAATCTTCATCGACAGATCATTGGGCCACGTGCTGCGTATGTCTAAACACCGATTACCACGACGGGAAATGTTGACTAGTGTAGGGGATGATTGGAAGAAAGTTAGGGGCGGCCAAACTAAAACGTAGCATGTCACTGAAGTCACTAACTTCCAGTTTGAGCCATGTTGGTAGATGCAGACTACTTGGTTGGGGTCCGCATGACTACCGTAACTAATGGTTAGAGACTAGGTGGTGTGACTCGAAATCGATCACAACGGCGTTGGTGTTTTCTTATTATTTATTTTAACACACAGATATTGGTACAAGAAGGCACCGAATATATATGCACCACACAGACCTCATTTGATGTGTGAGGGCTGTGATACTGCCCGGGTGCCCAAACCGAAGCAGGTGGTTTTCTTAGGTGGTCACACCCGAATCCTTTGACCTGGAGTTCTGATCCACAAGGTATTGGAGCATCGCAAGGAGATGCAGTCCCATGGTAGCCGGTGACCAACGATTAGTTCATACACCATTTGTTTCTTCAGGATACTGGAGCCCTTGTGCACCACTGATTTGGAATCAGGGTTTACCAACTCCCCTAGGTAGATCCTCTATATCCACCAACTCGATTAAAGCGTCGGAAATTCGCTTTTCGTCCTCTCAATTTCGTAAACAACACCCCCGCCATGAGAAGGCAATGAATAAGACTTCCCTGACAGGCTATATACGCGTGGCCATGTGAGAGCATTTGGAGAGTTAGAGCGGACTCTCCCCACTCTCGGCCGTACTAGGACATTCTGTGGCTCTTCATGTACTATATATTTATGTGCAATCTTTTATATATTACCACCATTGAATTAACTACTTCATGAATCCTGTGTTCATCTTGTGTTAATGAGATGTGGCAACTTGGACCGACGCACACATGTGCCTGGTTCTACGTTGTAGCTGACTGACTAACTGAGTAATACCAATATTATAGCATATGAGATTAATATAAGATCAAAATCAGGGTATTTAAGCACTACTGTAAGTTACAAATGCTAATCTAGGTCGAGTGGGTAGGTCTAAGTTCTCTTTAGGTACCAGTAATAATTACAACCTCTGGTAGATCCTTAGGTAACATGACTTAAATCTATTCGCAGTGACACAGACATGGATCCATTATTCTCCTTTCGATTTCAACCATTGTTTTACATTTTGATATTCATTTTTTGAGTCATCTATATCTTAATTATCAATATTATAACACTATTTAAATTTTCCACGTCCCCCAATATGGGCTGACACAAAGCTGTGTACATTCGTACACGGCCTGTATCAGTTTTCGATCGGTTGAAGCATTCTTTTTCACGGTATTGTCATACTAAACAGTAGAGTATATTACTTGCATAAGACAATCCTATTCGGCTCTAAATTACTTGGTATCTTTATTCACATATCTCATTAATTCCATGTAAACCTTTTGTCCTTTTTCAGCTTAACATAGCGTTTCCGTCCAATGGGACTCAAAAGTGTATTGAGGTTGATGAAGAACTTAAACTTCGCCCATTTTATGATAAACGTATGTCCCATGAGCTTCCAGTTGACTTTCTGGGGGACGAATGGAAAGGATACATAATGCGCATAACTGGTGGAAATGATAAACAGGGTTTCCCCATGAAACAAGGAGTTTTAACTAATGGCCGTGTCAAATTGCTGTTGAGCAAAGGAAGTTCATGCTATCGTCCTAGACGTAAAGGAGAACGACGACGCAAGAGCGTACGTGGTTGCATAGTTGATAGTAACTTAAGTGTCCTTAATCTGGTTGTTGTACGCAAAGGAGAAAACGATATTCCTGGCTTGACTGACGTCAGTATCCCTCGACGCCTTGGGCCTAAGAGAGCTTCAAAAATTAGGAAATTGTTTAATCTGTCGAAGAAGGATAATGTTTGTCAGTTCGTTGTGCGGAAGCCTGTCCCAGCTAAAGAAGGAAAGAAAGAGCGTTCCAAAGCTCCGAAGATTCAGCGTTTAACAACACCTTTGAGATTACAGCGTAGACGCCGTAGGCATGCACTGAAGCGTCAGCGCATAGAAACCCGCAGAAAGACACAAGAAGAATACGCCAAATTGCTTGCTCAGCGCCGAAAACAAGCTCGCGATGAGCGTGCAGAACGCAAGCGGTCGCGAAGTCACTCCTTACGTGAATCTAAAGGACAAACAGATAAAAGTGCATCATAAAATTGTGTAACTACAAATAAATATGTGGATAAATTTGCGTGTTCTCAATGTTTCTGATGTGTTGCTTGAAGAGTTAGCTATTTAGAAAAGTTCAATTGGGTGAATTTGATGTTTTATTTACAGGATTACATTTAAGTGTTTCATACCCATACAAAACACGTTACAGGTTAGGTGTAGTGTCTTGAACCCCGATTGTAATATAAAATCTACAAACTGATGGCTTCTTGATTCATTACGGTCCGATTCTTAAGTCTAAGCCAAACACTTGTAATAAGTTTAAACAGAACAGGGACAACAGGATTTGCAGAATAAAATGAATTTGTCCGTCTATTTTACGTTTTCTCATCAATCAGCTACAACATATGAACCAGGTACATATATGTATCGGTCCATATTGCCATACCTCAGCACAACAGGATGAACACCAAATTCATTGAAGCAGTTACTTCAATCGTAGTAAAAAAAGATTTCACATAGGGATATGATACAGGGAGAAAGAATTACTTCGTTGAAAGAAAGATATAAAGTTATTACAGTTTCTCGTCAGTTGCATACAACCTAAGATTACAATCATTGTTATAATTACTAACAAACGTTTAGCATTCTGTAGTTTGTGAAATTTAGATAAATGTTCTAAACGTAGCCAAAACTATAATAATTAAAAGAATAAGGATACAAAGTGTATGAATAGACATAGTTGTGATCGATGTGTATTTATTTGTTGGGAAGTTAAAAATTCAAAGGCAATGAAATTAATAACTTACTATGTGATCGGCCATGATAAAAAATATGTGGACATTTAGATTATGTAAGAGTTGGATATCAAAAGAATAAAAACAAGCATTTGCGGACAGAGTTAGTAAAGAATCGGAAATGAATAGAGGTTATTGGGTAAATATCCAGTCACTATGTCAGCGGAAGGCTAACTACACCTTGTTGTACGCATAGGTTAGGTGGGGACGTTTTATGGTGACTGAGTAGGTTATCTCATATTCAACTGTAATCATTACGTCGGGACGAGTTGTTGAAGTGACTAGGTAACGGTGAGGTGTGGTCCTTATCACCAGCATATCTGGAGTAGTAAGTGTCTTGGTTTTCGTTCTTTAGGTTAGCCATGAAGATATCGGCAAAGATGGGTCCTAGTGGTAATCCTACGGCCACTCCGTCGGTTTGTTTGTATAGTTGGTTGTTGGATTGGAAACGAATCCCGTTTCGCGCAAAGGAGTAACTCGCTTTGAGGTTAAAGATTGCTTGCGAGCTATACTCATAAATAATGAACACAACAAAATATACCATGAATCTGTCCCCAACCAGGTAGGTGTAGACTACCTGGTTGGGGACCGCGAGATGATAGCAACCGATGGTTAGAGAGCCTGGATGACATGGCTCAAAATCGTTTGCAATGGCGCAGGTGCATACACTCTCTGTGTTCTCCCAAGTTTTGATCTCCTTAGTCCTTGTCTCTTTTTTTCTCCTCTCAAATTTATTTCACTGTATTATACTCTTTAAGTAACATCTCCAAACACTAATCTTTCCGATTACTGCTTATACTCTTATTACCTCTACTACTACGGGATTTGAATCGACCACTGCATCCCTATTCTAATGTGGTGTGGCAACTCGAACTGGTGTACGTACGTAAGAAGTTCTACGTTGTTACTGACTGACTGTCGGATGTGTCCAAATGATCCATTTCTTTGGAACTAAACTACTGGTTCTCAGTATTCTACAGATTGGTTTTAGTAATTTAGCCAACTTATGATTTGGTGAATTAATCATAGACATTATAGGTCTTAACGGGATGTTGGATTTGTGCACTTTATTAAGACTATGTACGAAAAGCAGTCGTGATCTTTTTGCCTTTAGATTCTTGTTAACTGAATCATCAATCAGTTCATTAAGACTTTTATTGACTGTTTTCCATTGTTGCGATGGTACCTTAGATTTGTTAATTTGATATCTTATTGTATCATTGTTAATTTGGGACATTTTATGCATATATTCTTTTCAATTCAGTATTACATCGGGACATTTTATACATATAGTGTTTTTGAGGATTTGGCAATAATTATATTAGTAGTTATAACTTAAGTTGTATGCAGCTTATGAAAAACCGTGAAATAGACTGATGATGAGTTCATTTTGTTCTCCAAACCTTTTTTTGGTCTGTCTAGATTTATCAATGGATTTAGTTGTATGAAACTCGTAATAAGATCTGAATATGACGTTTAATAGTAATTTCTGAGTTAATCCACTTACGGTGGATATCCATAATTTCGTTCTTTGTGGTTCGTTTTGAACCGATTTTCAGAATATACCAGTTATAGTACAAATGGGACAATTCTGAAATTATCGTATTGTGTTCTATCTTAGTTTGGTCTGTTAAATGCGATAACAATAAGTGAAGGCTTTTTAATTTGGTCGATTTTACAGTATTTAGTCATTGATGTTCCCAAATTTCCTCTCATGTCTTCCACTTTTTGCTGTTGCGACGTAGTCTGATTTTTCCAATGTTCCGTTTTTCTTTTGGGACGTTAGCGTTCTTAATTGATTGATTTCCTTCCAAGAACATCATCTGCATCGGATTTCTATGAAGTTCATAAACCATATTAGGATGTACATTTCACTTTTGTCACTGATCATAAGAACATTCCTTTAAAAAAAGTCCTATAAGCAAAAAATAAAGCATTACTCATCATGACTTGTTGCTCATTTAGATTCAATTAGTCAGCCAGTACACATTATTACACTAGGTTAATTTTATTTTTAAAAATCTAAAAGAGTTGAATTGATTGGTAAACGATATTTAATAAAACTTCAAACAAAGGCTATATGTGACCAGCTTTATATATAATCATCTGCGCTATTTAACAAAACTGGCTATTCATATTCGTGTTTGCTTTGTTAGTATACCAACGAAAAAAAGACTTACTACTATAATTATAGAGTTTCATAAAGTCTGTAATCAATCTTACATTTTTCATGTTGCAGTTTATTTAATTGGTCATGGAGATTTGATCATTACTTGAGATGATTTTCGTCATTTAAACTAAGAGACACTGGAAACTTGCTTTGTTTTTAGTTTGGAACGTTTTACCAGTGTACAGCCAAGATCCTGAAAGGGACCGTTTATTAACTAATAACTAGTCTCGAGATGAATTCCCGAAGTTTTGAGAATTTGTGACTGTTGCAGTTCAACAATGTGGAAAGCAAGATAGGTACCACCGATTACAATGTACAGTCGTTACTCATCACAATTCTACTGAAGTTGGGAATTTGAATTATTTAATTACAATTCAGTTGCCTAACTTTTTTTTCGCGAGAATTGGAGAACAGTGTATGATAAGAGTACTCATTAATGGGCAGTTACTGATTATGACTAAAATAAGTCTACAGTACTTCCTGGTTATCAATACTTTTTTAAGGTCAATCTGTGATGAAATCAATTAGAGCAGATTTTAGCTTAGTCAAAATCCTACTTCCAATATTTATGCAGGTGAGATTTATGGACAGAGTGAGAGAGATGATACCATAATCGACCACAATGAACATGTCCTAAATGCTATCAATAGGTTAGACAACATGATAAATTTGGTAGCGATCATGAAATAAGAATAAAGTATTTATAATGATAATAATAGATGAGGATGGTATAAGGAAGTGGAAACTGATGAACTTATCTTGGGTACCAACCCAGTGGTCTTAAATCTAAACACTCGACCTGAGACCTGGATGACCTGAGTTCGATCGCTTGAAAAGTCCCTGTTGAGGAGTTCCGCACTAGGACAAAACAGTAGACCAGTCCTTCCTGGTGTTCAATTATTGTATAACTAATGTCAGTTCGAGATATCAACGATACCCCAAAACTCAACTAGCAATAACCAATACATTCACTAAACTCGAGAAGCAATTCCCAGAGTTCTGCTGAGATGTAGCCGGTAAAGTTGAAAGTATATTGTGGATTTTCACTAATTATTGTGATCTTAGCGGTAACGTATGTGCTGGCATACCATATGTAGAATTAGTTTTACTAGGGATGTTTGGTGAAGTTCTTCACGTGAAACAAGATGTAAATATTTGTCAAATTTGTTCAAATTTTTTATTTTAGAAAGAATGCCTCATTACATTGTAGCAGTTTTTTCGTTTATTTATTAGATCCAATACAAATGAACCAATATATTCAGATTATTTTCAAAAAATGTGAACAATTAATCCGTTTCCGAATGTTATCATCGTCATCAATTGTATATTCATCATCGTCAGTTCCTCCACATATTCCAATTATGAAATCAGAAATTGTAAAATATACCCAACCGAAACCAGGTCAAGTTAGTGATCTACTTGTCTTGTTTTATCGCTTTTTTTATAAATAAATAAACAATCAGAAACTACAGTCTTAAGTATACCGACCAACTCCGATCAGACCACATGGTGGACAAATAATGCAAGTTTAATTTTACATGGCTCTTGTAAGTGAATTATTCACTTAGGATACCTACCCATAATATATATCCCTGTCGAGGTCAGTTCGACCATATATGTGTATACGCGAAAATCACAAGCATCGTTATCTGTATTTTGGGAGTAAAGACGCCCACGAAGTCTTTGTTCTTCTTATCCCACATGATTAAGCTGGTCGTTTTTCAGAAGCGTACTTTAGTGATGGAATCAAACAGTAAAATACAACGACTTCGTCACTTCGACTTCCATAGTCTAATGTACTACGTCAGTGCTAAGAAGATGTAAATCAGTTGTCAGTTATCTGAAAGGAAGAGGAGACTATGACACACATAGTTACTGAATAAATTCGCGTCGATCACAATTACTTTTTCAAATCATGGAAAGAACTGGTAGATCAGTCAGTCGATCATAGTTAATGTACAACCTGACACAGATGTTCAGTAGTCCAAGATTTCCTGCTTTCTATCAGCAGAGCAAGCGGAAATTCTAAGACGTGAAAAACTATAAGATTCAAATATGATCATGATATTAATAATATCAAACAGCAGACAAAATGTGGTTCAATAAAAAGGAGTGGTTATCTCCACGTTAATGCAATCTACTTTGAACTATTTCGTTGCTATAATGATAGACACTTCTGGTTGTGTTTGATTTATTCATTGCTTTCTACAATAATGTTTAGGTAATTAGGTTAAAGGTGTATAACTTACGCAGTAGTTCTCGCTATGTTATTTTGTAAGTGAAAGTATAGTCACTTATAATCAAACCATCAAATAAGCAGCGCTATTGTTGGGCTTTCATTTGTATTCTTATAAAAACGAATATGATTCAAGCTTGGATGCTGCTATCGTATATCACAAACTTCTCTTGACTTTATTTATTTGTTTGAACACATAAATATTGGTACAAAGGGGCATCGAATAGATATGCGCCACACAAGTCACTTGATTTGTGTGTGGGCTGTGATACTGTCCGGGAGCTCATACAAAAGCAGGTGGTTTTCTTAGGGAGTCACACCTAGAGCCTTCGACCTAGAGGTCTGATCCACAAGGTAGTAGAGCGATGTAAGGAGATGCAATCCCCACGGTAGTCGGTGACCAATGATTGGTTCACACGTCATTTGTTCTTTTAAGATCCTGGAGCCCTGTTGCACCATTGGTTTGAAATCAGTGTTTTCCAACTTCTCTATGTTGATTTTCCGTGTCCACTAACCCGGTTAAATCACTGGACACTCGCTTTTCGTCCTCTCGATCTCATACACAACACTTCCGCCGAGAGAAGGCAGTGAGTAGGACTTCCCTGGCAGTGGTTGTATGCACATGACCATGTGAGAGCATTTGGAGAGGGAGAAGTGAATTTCCCCACCCTCGGCCGTACCAGGGCATTTCATTAATCATTTTTCAGTCAGTTGTATTAAAGTTTAGTTGTTTATCCTTATTGTACATTGATTAACTGCCATTTAGTAACTATCATGTTTCCCTTGTTATTTTTAATGGTGATGGACCAATTTTTATATGGTCACTAGTTTAAGTTACTCGATGTCAAGTGCACTGTTTAGATGTTCAATGATTACTAGGATTCAGGAGACAACTCCCCCTAACCTAGCATTCGCACCAGCTATTGTTTGTCAGCTGGTGTGTACCTGTAGTCTTAAGAGAACCGTAATCTATGTGGGAATTGAGTCAGCATCACTCTGTTTCACATTCTACGACGTTACTACTTAGTTGTTCAGACCACGGCTAACTTTCTGTATGATTGAGCTGTTTGCATTGATTGGTCAGTGAATAGTAAGAAATGTTATGTTCGTCTATAGTCTCTTACTTCTGACTCAACTCTGTCGATCAAGATACAATGTGGCCACATGATTGCATGTACGCCTTGATGACGAGTGCCAGCTATTACAAACCTAGTTCAAGGATCTTTTCCTGTCGACTGCCTTATATCACTTAACATGTTCCTATTATAGTTTGGTTTAATATTATCCTAAAAGTTATCGTTTTCACATAATTTCTCGTGGATTTTGTCGTAAAGCTTTAATATCAGTACAACTAATTAACTAAATATTGCTTTCTTGTATTTGAATTTATACCTGATACTACATCTAACGATTTTGACCCTAGCAATCAGATCTTAATTGATTAGAGAATTTGATGTACGAATGAAATTCGTTCAATGGCCAATAAAATTCTATCATGCTTATTTTATGTTTATATTCTGTATATAAATATGTTATCTTTCTAATCATGAAGAGAGTCTTAAGTCAATAGTATGATCTCATGAGTATTCTTCACTCGGTTACTTCATGTCATTGTGTTCACCTATTGACTGACACTATTCAATGACTTCGACAGACAAGGATTCAGTTCATTAAATCATTAAAAACTTCCTCTATAACTGTATCATATTCATCATATGACCATTGATGAATGTCACTATCGGACAAAAGTTGACAATTCGTAAATAAAATTGTTTGATAATAAAAACATCTCTTTTTTCCTAAATAATGAGTAGGATTTTGCTTTGATTGATGTTAGGGAGATCCAGAAAATTCTCGAAAGCGAAAAAAGGCTTTGAAAACGCTGAGAAACATCTTATCTAATCAGCATTCAATAGAAGTTTTACCAGAAACATCTAGAAAGTGAAAAGTCACGTACCGAGTTACTGATTTGGTGATTACTTATACTACTACTATGTTTAGTAGCATTCCAGAATTTTCCGCAAACCCAGAGACATCTAAAATACCATAAAAACCCCAAATTTCCTGGACATAAAGGAACCATATTTCGCGCCTTTTCTCTCGTGTTCAAGTCGCTGTGTAGATCCAGCCTGGGGGTTACTAGAAGAGTTTGGGAACCGAATCTAGCGTTTAATTGAAAGGCTTATCAATTGACATTTTTTAAATGTTTCACACGACTAATATACATTGCGTATTTTGGAATCATATTGAGAGTTTGTAGCTGATGTAGATAGAGAAACAAAGAGCCTATGACAAACAACAGAAGTTATTTTTGGGAACATTATTCCACTTGATTCAAAGTTAGTAAGATACTAACATTTAGTTTTGTCTATGGTTTATTCTATAAACCATAAGCTTTCGTTTGATACATGATTCGCTGCCATACTTTTTTCTATTCGAAAATTGTTATGATTTATCTGTAACCTTTTCCACTACATTTTCCCTATCCTAATTCTATATGGGTTATGGTCGTGTTAGTCATCTATTCATTCATGTGTCTTTTTTCATTGATGTGAATCAATAATAAATCGGGTAGTGCTCCAGCCAATTCGTCCCTTCTCTCTCTCTCTTATCAACCAATCAGGTCCTAGAGTAGTTTTCATCTCTCTGTCACCAAGCTTTCATACATTATTAGCCTCGAAACTGAAGTAGATAGCCTATCATGCCAAGACCTTAAACTAGATCGAGATAAATTCTCTCCTGTATATTAGTGGACAAATGAATCAAGGAAGTAACAGTAGCTTAATGTTTTAAACACTGAACTTTCAATTATATAACTATAAATTTTAAACACTAGCCCATCTAATTCAGCTTTGACAAGGTGAATATACAATAAATAGATAGAAATTCTATACTGATTACTTCAAGAATTCATTTTCCTTTCTGTTCATTCATTTAATCTAGGTTTATTTAGATATGACTTTTGGCACAGGAGGTCATGCAAATGAAATATTGAAATATGCTGCCGATAATTTAACTTGTTACTTTCTAGACCGTGATCCAACAAGTTTCTCATTTATGGAATCACTTCGTACAAATTATAGCTCATCCAAGTAAGTTTCTTTCATATTCTATGTATGATATATTGAATTATTTTCTGGGAAGAAAGAAGTTCATTAGAGTAGTTCAGTATTGTATTATTCTGTAGTGAACACGAACACGAGTGGGGACAATCGAATGTGTTTGATACGAAATTACAGAGCATCTCAATAAAATCTGAGAACCATATAGTAAATAGTTAATTTGCCAAGTATCAATCCATCGTCTCAAACTTCACTGTTCCTTTTGCAAATATCAGTCCATTGTCCCAGATTTCGTTGTTCTATGCATTTTCATACCAACTACGTTTCGTTCCCGTTCTTTCCTTATCGATCTACTGAAATACATTCTATGCCTGATCATCGTTATATACTACTTATGTGGATATAAGTAGCTCACACAACAATTCTAGTTAATAATAAAACTAAATGATGAAAGTATTTTCTAAGCTAAATTCTATTGTGTAATTTTTCAAAACTTATAAAGTTAATATGCAAAATAAAAATTACGTCATAATGTAATTAGTTATAAGAAAAGAGTAGACAACAGTAACTTGTCCCATCAAACAACGTAGCTAATTATTAATGATGTATTAAGTATATTAACAGTCAGTCAGCGATGTAGAACCGGGAAAATAAGTACTGGTTGAATTTTCCACTCCATATCGATACAGCGAGATTAAGTTATCAAGATAGATCCCAGAATAGTAAAAGTATTAACAATGTTAGTAGCATTAGAAAAGATTAGACATAGACAACATGATTCGAGAAAAGTGAATGAACTTGCGGACTAGAAAGATGTAGGGTAAGACAAGGAGTGAATGTGTCTACACCATTGTGACTGGTTCTGCGCCATTCCACTCAACGTTACCGACCATTGGTTACGGTAATGATGTTGACTCCAACTTGCTAGTGTGAATCTATCAACACAATTCAGTTCAACAGTCAATGACTTCATAGACTGATTCCTCGTTTTGGTTTGTTTGTAGTAACAGTATTCAATATCAAAGCCTTATGTCTCTCCCATCGTTGCAATATGAGTTACATTAGGGAACAGTTAACACATGAAGCGGTAGGATATTGATAAAAATACTCAACTTTCAACTTAAGGATCACATGTTTTAGGCCACACTTTATTGGCTAGTGTCACTACTCTTACCCTCGTAAATATATGGGTTAAATCTCCGATGACATAATTAAGAACTGTTTTGTGAAATCAAACTTATGTCAAGCACAAACCGACTTTCATTCTGCCGTCTCATCTATGATCCCCTCATGATTGGAAAGAGAGACTATGAAACTGGATTAAATATTTAGAGGTGCCTTCTTGTACCAATATTTATGTGTTTAAATGAATAATAATTTTATCAAAACTGTACGTTATAGTCATTGTTTTCAGTTAAATTTCTGCTCGTTAATGGCACCAATTTGTAATATTAGAATTGCACGTTTAAATCCCACAAAGAACGTCAGTTCCTTCAAGGTTGCAGATACACCTTGTTTCTAGTGCGTACTAACCTGCATGGAACATATCGTCTTGATTACTTCCAGCCACCTAACATTTAAACACTATGCGGACTCTGCCGAGTCACCTATACTAGTGGTCAAATTATAAATCAATCGATGGATTTCGATTAGTAATAAAAGACTTTAAGTGATATGATATTAATCAAGCTTTATGCGTCTTTTCCTCTACTTTCGTTTTATATTAGTCATAAAATACATCCACTTATTGGACGATTTAGTGATCTTCCTCAATTATTAAGTGGCTATGATCTGAAATATCAATCAGTTGATTTAATTCTTATGGATTTGGGTGTAAGTTCACCACAATTAGACAATGAATCTCGTGGATTTGGTTTTAAACATAATGCTCCGTTAGATATGCGTATGAATCAAAGTCGAAATGTACAGTAAGTTTAAAGATGTTAATTTGATCATCGGCTTTTTCTAGTTTACATGTAAGTAGTTTGTTCAGTGAATAAACAGACTGAGGCCATAATAACTTCATATCCAAAACATCAGAGTAAGCCAATATTATCTCCTAGCAATACATATATCCCGTTTCGGTTTTCAATCTCCAAAATATCTCTAGAAGTTCTCAAAAGTCTAGCACTTCAGACGCCTCACTGTTTATCATCTTTTCCTAAATCACAAATATTCTCGTAGTCGTGCACACAAATGATTATTTCAAATGTAGTTCTCCAGCGTTTATCCAAACTTTGAGTTGACGGTTAGAAAGCACAGGACATTGTATATGTTCAATGTTTCTGTTATGTTCTACTGTTGTTCAAGTCTTCTAGTGATATTTATGCTTCCTATATGACTGCCCGAACCAACTATACTTGAATGAAAAAACCAATAGTGAGTAAGAAGCTTCCATTGGTTAACAAGATCAAAATATATTCATAAACCCATTTGTTGATACTAACACATGTGTTTCAAAAAAGGTGAGGCCCGATTTTCAATCAACAGCGTGTATCTGTTCCCTTTGAAAATCAAACCAAATCTTGACCAATAACATGTGCCTGTCATTATCTCTATTGATCATTTGACCTTAAACCGATAGATCCGATTGCCCTAACCTATAAGCTTCTATTCACACAAAAAGTTCACACATAGTAATGATCTTTTGTTATCTTTTCAAACTATTTAAATCGGTAGTAATGTAGTGAACGAAGACTTGGTGAAGAAAACCAATTTGTTGTTTAATGCGAAATTACAGAATGTCTTCGTGTAAAATATGAAAACCATACATTAAGTACTTCATTCACATATCTTCTACCAGTTGTCCTTTACATACTTCATGATTCTTTCAATTCTGTTGTTATTACAATTACTTTATGTTTCTCATTCTGTTCTCTTCAATTGAATCTTCTCAATCTTCTATCATCATACATTCCACTTTCGATTGATGCTATATACTACTTATATCCGTCAACTAAAGTAGCATACACCACAGTAATAGAACAAAATAAGCACAAACAACATAATACGAGAGAAAAGAATGAATTCAGAGAATAAAACGTATAAGATAATCTTAAAACTCAAGATCTAAGAAAAGGTCTGAAAAACTACTATTATTTCGTTTTATGTGGAACTAAACAATCAACATATGTTATTATCAATTGTTTCAAAATTCAGATTTCCTCAAGATAGTAGCATAAATGAAATGATAGTAGGCATTATGTAGGGTGTATTTCAGTGAGAATGCTGAAATGTTTATTCTCCTCTCTTCTTATTCCCTCTAAATTTTGTTTAATTGATCACTTAGTCATATGTAACATCGAGTCTGGCGTATGTGTAAATCAGTTCAGGTTACTATTCTCCATTAAGACAGCGATGTGAAGTTTTCAAAGCAAATTCCAGAGTAGTAGAGATAGTAACAGTATTGAGATATCGGGTGGTGGTTGGAGATAGTCAGCAGGGAACTTTGAACGACCAGTTTCTTCAAGTTTATAGGTACACCTTGCTGATGAGTCCCAAGTAGGATGAAACCTTAGGTCCTGTCGACCACCTCCAACCAACACCTTGCATCTCAATATTTTGCACACGTCGAGTTACTTGGGCTATTGACCACGTTACGAATTGGTTCGGCCTACATGATCAATCTGTTGCATTAGTAACAGTATTAGTGGTAATAAAAAACTACGTATTAAAGGCACGATTTGAGGAAATATGAGTTAGTGAAATAAAGAAGATTATAGGGAACTTGAAAACTTATGATCTAAGAGGAGATAAATAATGAATACATCTGCACCATTACGAACGATTTTGAGCCATGCCACTTACAGATCTTAACCACTAGTTACGGTAATCGTGTAGACTCCAATCAGGTAGTCTACACCTACCTACGTGGTTCAGTTCGATAGTAACTGTCTTCATGAACTAATACCACGTCTTTGTTTGGCTTCCCTTATCTTTCTTCCGAAGAAATCCTGCCACGAGCCATCGTTGCGCGGTGAGGTAGTTGATGGATGGAGAACAATATACATCCTAACCGTCCCAGTCGATAAAGATTTACTACTTTGTCAATCCATTTGCCATATTTACCAAGTACTATGGATTAATCCGATTATTCTAAAATATTTAAACAGTGTCCCGAAGACTGTTAATCAGTTGGATAATTAGCAAACTTGTCACTAAAGTGTGCATATGAGATTTATACGCTCGTCTTAAAACCAGTCAACATGTTTATTTGAAGGTTTAACACTTCCACTAGCTCCTGAAATCATTAATATATTTTATAATGACTATTATCATCGGTTATATTTCATGTTCAAAGTGGTAGGTGTGTGAATACCTTAATATCTCACTGCTTATTATGCTTTGTTCAATGAAACTAGTAATGTTGTGGCCATAGTTATCATTGTGGTGCTGTGTATACACGTGACTTTGAATTCACCGTTTTATCCTAATAGTTAAACCTAATTACGATTACTTAGCCCTGTTACTTCTCGTACATCATAGGCCGCCGACCAGGATTCTGCAACAAACAGTGTTCTGGGCTCTTCTTTCCAGCTTTTGCCATGTTCTATTCATTCTTGTGATGTCCACCTCCAATCCCCCCTCATTGTGTTCCTTTGTCTCCCTCCTTTCCTTTGGCATTGAGGATTTTGAACCGGAACTTGTTTTGTAACGCAGTTTGACGATTTCCGTAAAATGCAACCCATTCACCTCCAGCGTCTTTTCTTGACTTCCTTCTCAGCCAGAATCTGGTTTGTTCTCTACCACAGTGGTTTGCTGCTGATTTGTCCGGCCAACATATTTAGAATACCTTACGTAGAAAATTGTTTGTAAATATGTATACTATTTTGATAATGTTTGTGGTGGTTCTCCAAGTTTCAGCTCCGTGCACAACAGGAAACTATTTAGAGCTTTCTGGGCATTTGTTTTGAAACTTGTGACGTTGGTGCTTGCTGATGGTTGTTTCGAGTTCCATATGTTCTTCAACTGTAGGAATGTTCTTGCTTTTCCAATCCGTGCCTTCACATTTGTATCGAATTCTCCTTGTTTATCAAAGATGTCAAAGTGTATAAAAGTTTCCACATCTAAAGCATTTCCATCAGGTGTGATTTTTTTACAGCTCACTTTGTTGTACTTGGGGGTCTTGCTTTTTCCCTTGTGTATTTTATGGTCTACTGCTGTAGAGGCCGCTACTACACTGGATATCTTCCCAAGTCTGGACAAAGAAAGAGGGTTTGACATGGGGTCAGGAATCTGATCATGTATGAAAAGAACCTTGCTTAAAAATGCCAAGCCGAAAAATCATTTTTAATGATCATTACCTACGTAAATTTATTTTCATTTCACCAAAATGTTACTCATCATTGTGCAATCATTCATCTAATTACATTTATAATTTTATTGAGATCACAAATCGATATCACTTCGACAACCACTGAAAACCTGAATGCACTTGGTGACAGATTCGTTTTAGTATGGGACTCCTTTGCACTGTGTATCGATGATCCAGCAACTGGGGATCAGACCCAGGATCTACGGTCTCACGCTTCTAAACCACTGAGACGAAAACAAATGATGCATTACGTAACCATTATTCATTGTCTTCGGTGAGTAATTTCTTCATACCAGACAGGGTTGAACTTCACTGTTCATGCTTCCAAGTTTTCAATGGCTGTCTAACTTAGATCCGTTTGTTGTTTCAATAAAGTTCAGCAGACTCCGTAATCCAATGCTAATAATTATAACTTTGTATTATTAACCTTCTTGTTAAAGTGTAGTCTAACTTCTTAAAAACTGATCAAATAGTACTAATTGTAATTAATATATAAAAGTACTTTCAAAATTTCTACAATTTTCCCACCTACTACTCTGTATAATGTCAGCTTTAAAACTTGTGAATAACTCACTCTGTATGTTACAGAAAAGATACACCAACTGCAGCTGATGTTATTAATACATTGAATGCTGACGAACTGTCGAATATATTCAGCATTTATGGTGAAGAACGTTTTTCCAGGCGTATCGCAAACGCTATTGTTGATTATAGAAATGATGCTGGTTCAATTCAAACAACAAAACAGTTAGCTGATTTAATTCATTCTGTTGTACCAGTGAATAGAGAAGATAGGGGGTAAGTAAAACTACATCAATACAAGTGTTTGGTTTTATGTATATTTCCGAGTTGTCGTTATAAATTAAATAAATGGTACTTTTGTTCTGTTTTCAACTATTTAGCTATGTATACCTATGATATACTCATCATAAGATCTGAAAATTCTGGGTTCTATACTTGTTGAAGAGTACTTCCAGTTTAAGAAGAAATCCACTCCATTGTTGGATAAAACATAGGTCAATGAGGAGAATTTCTTTTTCGACTGTCAATTACTAAACTTTCTAAATCGTATTTATGGTTATAGGGAAGCGGTATGTTCAATCTCCTTTTTAAGATTGGTCTTGGGCTAATTGGACAACATTGATTTATCGGCCAGACCAATGACGCAGAAACCCGCACTAACAGTCTAGAGTATTTATCGGTCCTTCTTCCTACCTAGCCCTGTCTGTTAAGTCCAGAACACCAAACTCAGCCTCTGCGTTATGTATTTCAAACATACTGGGTTTATATACCAACCAAATAGACCACATCGTACCATAAAATGGAAAATAACTTTTGTACAATATCTAACTAAAAGTGGCTGTGAATGTGGGAGACTGTAATTAATAGACCGCGTATAACTCAAGAACGGTAAATCGTATAATAATAGTCTATGGGTCAAAATACAGTTTATAATAAGAGGAACGTGAATATGAATAGTTTGGTTACTTAACAATTATGCAGTAAAATATTTATGTATCATATTGATCCATAAATAGTTATCAAAAGTTACCATTCATAATTCTCATCGGGATATAACAGTACCTACACGTTATACGAACGTTACACAACAGTAAGACAATACGACATCTTATCACTCATAATAATGTACACAGACAACTACAGACACTTATATAATTAAGAAATCGAGGAAATCCGAAAAATGACAGGAAATTTCTAGAAACATGAAATTCAAGTCAATCTGCAATCAATAGGCGACATGTCGACATAAACCTTATTAGCCATTCTATGCGGAAAATGTCAACCAATTTCTTGAACAGAAGTTAATCGAACAAGATAGTCAACAGGAACATAAAGACAACTTAAGCTGATGCAACCCCTGAAGGTAATCATTCGGAGGTTATGTCATCAAAACTGGGGTATTTAGCACTTGTAAAATAATTAAATAGCTCACACCCTAACCCTGAAGTTTGTAGGTATGCCTTGCTGTATATGAGTCTCAGGTTATACAAAATAAAAGTTGTAAAAGGTTTCTTAGCGACCACCTTCAACCGCCTAACTTCCTATCATTGTACTTAAGGTATCGATTCACTTAGACCAGTGATAATACTGTAACTTGGTTGATAGAATTCAATCAACACAGAAGTAGACACAATCATTGTTCACTATCCTATGACCAATCAATATTATATACGATCACATGTTTTCATCTCTCTCTACGTATTTTTCAGCTCAATTCATCCAGCTACACGTATATTCCAAGCATTACGTATTTTCATTAATGACGAACTAAACGAATTATGCATCGGTCTAGAATTAGCTGAATTTTTATTAAAACCCGGTGGTTATTTAGTTGTTCTATCATTTCATTCATTAGAAGATCGTTTAATCAAATGGGCATTCCATTATGATTGTAAACATCTATCTTTATCAAAATATTTATCACAACGAAGTCTGAATTTTCAGTGTACTAATAAAAGAAAAGAATATGAAAATGATGAAATATCAGACGGATCTCTGGGACAGATGAAATCGAAATGGAATTGTGTAAGTTAAATAATCCTGTGATAATCTAGGTTCTTGAATTATATTGTTTTCTACTACTACTAATAGTGTTACTACTTCTGATAGTCCGACATTTATCTTAAATATTTTCATCTGATTGTATTGATATATGGTGGAAACTTGAACCGATGAACATATTTTCCAAGTTCAATGTTGTCTATAATTGGCCCCTGAATGGTCTTGTATGGCCGAGGGTGAAGAGAGTTCGTTCTCCCTTTCGAAATAATATCATATGGCCACGCGTATACAACCACTATCAGGGAAGTGTTGTTTACGAAATTGGGAATACTTAAGGCGAATATTCGGCGTATACACCGGGTTAGTAGATACAGAGGATTTCTCTAGGGGGGGGTTGAGAACCCTCGTTCCAAATCAATAGTGCACATGGGCCACTTCGACTATAGATAGCATACATCATCAGTATACAACTTACATAATAAGTCTAGTTAGTTCCATTTAGTACACAGTTATTAATGTAGTAAATGAATAATAGTTCAAATAATACTTGATGGTAACTAATACTCCTGTGCTTAAAGCGGATTTTAAACCATTTAGAGCTCATCAACTGAATTCCTCCTCACTGCTAATGATTTATCATTGACTACTACAGTCCGCGTTATTTCAAAAATTGTAAACTTTTGACTTATTCTTAAAAACAACCTAAAACTTATCAGATTCCTTTGTCATACAAACTGAAAAAATGATGATTTTAACAATGTACTGGTTTCATACTTAATACATTTGGTTTCATATCAGTTGTTTTCAACACTATGATGCTATTTTTTTTCTTAAAGGTTATTGGACCTATAACTCCTTCCGATTCGGAGATAGATTCTAATCCAAGAAGTCGTTCAGCCAAATTACGTATAGCGAAAAGAGCATAATTAAAAAGTGATTAAGGAAGCAATGACAATAAACGATTAGGTTACTGATCAAGATGTATGCTTGTATAATACAATTCAGTTGAATTTTGTTAAACAATCCCAATTCTGAAGCTATATTTTGTACATATTCAGTTTTTTTTTCAGAGAAATGTAATTGTACATATTTGTAATTATTGCACCAATTAAATTGATATAATCGATCTTACTTTCCATAAATATTGGTGGAGTGGGGCTTTTTTTCGTCACTTTGTATTTGTACAATTTCCTGTTATTAATATTCAGCACTACAATTTATATCAGTTTCCGTCCCAATATATATACAACTTGAATTGACTTGCTTGATTAAGCCTGTTACCCCTCGTCGAGGAGCGTAGGCCATTCACCAGCACTCTCCATCCAACTCTGTCATGGACAATCCTTTTTGGTTGCTATTCATCCTTTTGATGTCTGTTTCCAATTACCGACGTAGCGTGTTCTTCGGGATTCCAGGTAAACGCTTGCTTCGTGATACAGTTTGGTGATTTCCGTAATGTATGTCCCACCCACTTCCATCATCTTTTCCTAATTTCCTCTTCAGATGGAAGTCGGTTTGTTCTCTCCCACAGCTGTCTGTTGCTGGTGGTATTCGTTTCAGTCAGTCAGTCAGTAACAACGTAGAACTTCGTACGTACGTACATCAGTTCGAGTTGCCACACCACATTAGCACAGAGATGCAGTGGTCGATTCAAATCCCGTAGTGGTAGAGGTAGCAAGAGTATAAGCAGTAATCGGGAAGATTAGGGTTTGGAGATGTTATTTAAAGAGTATAATCCAGTGAAAGAAATTTGGAAAGAGGAAAAAAGGGACATGAAGAATTCAGAAGATTAGAGTTTGGGAGAACACAGAGAGTGGATGCACCTGCGCCATTGCAAACGGTTTTGAGCCATGTCATTCAGGGTCTCTAACCATCGGTTGCTGTCATCTCGCGGTCCCCAACCAGGTAGTCTACACCTATCAACATGACTCAGTTCACTTGTCAGTGACTTCATGGACTTGTGCCATGTTTTGGTTTGGCCGCCCCTAGCTTTCTTCCAACCTACTCCTATACCACTGAACATAGCACGTCGAGGCAGTCGGTCGTTGGGCATACGTAACACGTGTCCCAGCCATCTCAACTGATGAAGTTTCACTACGTCATCAATTGATTTGCCATCCTTACCTAGTACCCGTTTCCTAACAACTGTGTTACTTACTCGATGGTCCCATGATATATGAGCAATGTTTCGAAGACACCTATGATCAAATACTAGTAACCTACGGATATCCTCTACTCTTACCGGCCATGTTTCACTGCCATAAAGTAGGACGGAACGAACTGCTGCGCAGTAAACACGTCCTTTGGTTGATAGACGGATATCTCGCCTACGCCATAAATGACGCAAGTTGGCAAAAGCTAGTCGAGCCTTCTGTATCCGTGCTGAGATTTCGTCACACACCAAACCACAAGGGCTGATGAGACTTCCAAGATAAGTGAAGCGGTCGACACACTCAACTACTTCACTCCCTATCACTAGTTCGGGTGTCGATGTAACCCAATCCTGAAGCAACATTTTGCATTTCGAGGGAGAGAATCGCATCCCGAACATGCTTGCATTGTTGCTTAGAGTGGTCAGAAGACTCTGCATTTTGTCAGCGTCTTCACCAAATAAAACTATGTCATCAGCATATTCTAAGTCAACAAGTGAACCTCCTGGTAGAAGTTCAACCCCTGTAAATTTAGATGAGGAGAGTGTTATCTCTAAAAGTACGTCAAGACAAAGTTGAACAAGAATGGGGAGAGTGGACAGCCCTGACGAACACCACTTGAGGTGATCAATTCTGATGACAGTTCGCCATAAGCTCTCACTCTACCAGTTGTGTTCGAGTAGAGAGCCTTTATAAGGTTAATGTACTTTTTTGGTACTCCTTTCAGTGACAAACACTGCCATAGAACCTCACGATCAACGAGTCGAATGCCGCCTTAAGGTCGAGAAATACTACCATTGTGGGGCGTCTGAATGTGTGTCTCTGTTCTAGAACCTGACGTAGTGTGAATATCTGATCTATACAACCACGTCCAGGTCGAAAACCAGCCTGGTTTTCTCTAGTCTGCTCTTCACGAGCTTTAGTTAGGCGTCGAAGTATTATTGAGGCTAATATTTTAGACACTATATTAGTCAAACTGATTCCTCTGTGATTCGTTTAACGGACATTAATTGTAACTACTCGTATCTTTTTGATTATGGTTGTGATAGTTATCCCAGTTTCAGCTCCATACAGTAGAACTGTCTTGACATCCGTATTGCAGATTCCGATTTTGATATTTCTTGACAGTCCTCTCGAAATGCTCTCACATGACCACACGTATACAGCTACTACCAGGGAAGTCCTACTCACTGTCTTCTCGGGAAGGGGATGCTGTTTGCGGAATAGAGAGAACGGAAAACAAATGTTCGGCGCTTTAACAGGGTTGGTGGATATGGAGGATCCATCTAGGAGAGCTGGAAAACCCTGATTTCAAACAAATGGTGGACATGGGCTCCAGGATCCTAAGGAGACTAATGGCTTATGAACGTATCGTTGGTCACCAACTACCATGGGACTATATCTCCTAATGCTGCTCCACTGCCCTGTGGATCAGACTTTTAGGTCAAAAGCTCCGGGAGTCCCCTCCCTAGGAAAACCACCTACTTTTTGTATGGGCTCTCGGACAGTATCACAGCCCATACACAAATCAAGTGACTTGTGTGGCGCATATATATTTGGTGCCTTCTTGTACCTATGATGTTAATCTTCAACCAAACACTTAATCCAATTTGCAATTTCATTAACTTCAATGTCATTTAGACAATTTGTCTTATAATTCCACTTAACGTACAAACTTATATCAAGTCATTCATTAATATAACTTTATTTGAAGTAGAGAAGAAAAAAAAAGTTATTTACAACAATTTCATTTCTGTACAATGACGAGAGAGAATAAATAAAGAATTCAATAGTCAATAGCGAATGATTTTAAAGTTTTTAAAAGTGTTTTTGGTTGAATAAATTTTTTAAATTCAGTTCTTGGTATCCATGCAAAATTATTAATATTGAAATCATTATTTATAATTAAATCTTCACCATGCCAATGTCTATCAACGTAGACATTGAAAAAGTATACCTATAAAAATAAACAGAAAGAGAATATATGAATATCATTATGATTGGTAATATGTTGTTCTGTCAACAGAAATCTGTACTAGGCTAGGTGTGTTATTTTCTAACATTGACAATCTTTACCCGTTGTTGAGAGGCATCATCATTGCAGATGTCATTTTTATTATCATTTATTTATTTGAATACATGGATATTGGTACAAGGCGGCACCAAATATATATGCGACACACCTCTTCTAATCATCTCACATTGTTCTGAACGAAAACACAGGTGGGGACAATCGAATGTAATTTGAACACAAAATTGCAAAAAAAACCATACAGTAAATACTTTATTTGCGAAATGTCAATCAGTCGTCTCAGATTTGATTATTCCTACGTTTCCACACTAATCATTCTCTGTTCTCGTACTCTTTCCTTCGATCTTCTGCCTTTAGGCATTTAAATTTCGATTGGTGATACATACTACTTATATCTATCGATATCAGTAGCACATACCACAATAAATCATAATACATACGACACTGGATCGCTTACACTAGTCTATTTATTTAGACACATAAACATTGGTACAAGGAGGCACCGAATGCATATGCGCCACAAAAATCTCATTCGATATATGTGAGGGCTGTGATACTGCCCTGGTGCCCAAACCGAAGCAGGTGGTTTTCTTAGGGGCCACACACGGAGCCTTCGACCTGAAGTTCTGATCCACAAAGCAGTGGAGCATCGTAAGGAGATGCAGTCCTATGGTAGCCGGTGACCAACGATTAGTTCATACGCCATTTGTTCCTTCAGGATACTGGAGCCCATGTGCACCATTGATTTGGAATCAGGGTTGTCCAACTCCCCTAGGTGGACTCACCGTGTCCACGAACCTGCAGATGTCATATTTCTATACAGCTGGCAGTACACCTTTGCCCTCAGACTTTGAGTTGTCTTCAGCTCTACTTTTGGAACTGGTAGAACTTGAAGAAACCAATATCCTGTGCTGAGAATTCTATATTGTACCAAGAAGATAATATTGAATAAAGCCATTAATAATAATAGTAATAATATAGTTTGATTTAGCAATACGGATATACAAGCCTGATCACTACAAAGCAGAGGGTATGGTAGAGATAATGTCTAGAAAGAATGAAAGCTTCACGAGTTAACCATTCAGTTCAGAATATCCAAAGTTTCAAACCATGACGAAACAACTAGATCTCAATGATCCTCCAAATGTCAGCCTATGATAAAAACAAACTTCCTCTAAAAATCAAATAGATCTCTGAAAACCACCCAACTAGATGATTTCTACTATTTTTGAAAAACAAACAAAAACCTATTAGTACTTAGTAAATATATACTTACCTGTGTGCCAGTATCTTCTTTATTTCTATCTCTAGTCAACCAAACAGCAACTGGTGTATTGCCAAATATACACCATTTAGCTCTTGGTGGTAATAAACTTGTTGCTATAGAATCAGCGACCTGGAAAGGGACAAAAGTGAATGAAATTTAAAATGAGAATAGTAGTGATTTCTTTCAGATGATATTGGTAGACAAAATAATTAAGTTATAAATACTGAAATTGGTACAAATGACCTACAAAATTCACTTTTTCATTATAAACAATATTGTTTTTTGTATAATTTACAATGGTGCATGAATATGATGGTAAATTTTATCTTCTTGATATTGGTATTCAGCACAATTCAAATGGTCATATAGAAAGATTTATTCATCGAAAAGATACTTGAAGTAGGTTTTACTTGAATTTCAATAGTTTTTGTCCAATAAACTACAAGGTTTTGGTTAAAACACTATTGAAACTATATTGAGAAGGGAAGACTGAAAAATTAACTATGGTTGAAAAATGTCTGCGAAATAATGATTATCCACAAAAGTTCATCAGTAATTATAGGAAAACAGGGAGTGAAATTTACCACAGTCGAAAAAAAGTCAACCTTCTTACAACTCAGTTTGAAAGGTGATAAAAAAGCGAGCATGATTAATTCTAGACTAAATGCTCCACTGAAGAGGACGTGCCCAGCCGCAAAACTATTTTCTATGTATCAAACAAATAGCACATTGAGGAGGACAAAAGTGGGCAAATCCCACTTCCGGCTACGTCCGATTGCACTTACCAGTTCGCCAGCTCATGCCAGAGCATTTACTTTGAAAGAACAGAAAGAATTCATGATCGAATCTCCAAGTATATTCCACAAAAAATAAAGATCGAAAGGTCAACGTATTTTCAACAATGCCATGGTTAGATATTTTAAAATCTTTCAAAAATAATAAATACTTAGACAGATTTGGATTTACGACGTTACCGAAGGGTCATCGCTATAGAAAAGCCATATATATATATATATTCAAAAGGAAACCGTTGTCAATCTATCACTACTCTGGTAACTTCAAGTTTCTGCTATCCGATTGCGTAATATCTTAGTTCGTATTCGTAATAACAGATTCTTTTCTCAATGTTGTTTTTTTTCGAGCTCTACTCATCCAATTGTGTCACTCTATCAAAATTTTATATACGTGCTCTAGGAACGTACCTCCACGTGTTTAAGAAAGAATTTATTCTGGAGGTTTTAGTTGGTAAATATTCATTCACTTCACCACTATATGGTTTCTCTTTATAACTGTTGTTGGTATTCTACTATGATCTATTTGATTATATAAAGTATGCACATTGCTATAAATCATAATAATTATTAGGCAAAGATGGATAGTGGTTAGCAGTGGAATCTAGGACGCACGTCCCGTTCTATTTGGGACTCGTCAGCTGAATGTACCTGCATCCCAGAGTTGACGCCCACTCCGGGACTCGAACCCAGTGCCGTTCGCTTTAGACGCCATCGCATTATCCATTTACCTACTGAGTCTTGATAGCCACTTGCTTTTGCAATGGTGTGAAGTTTAACTTCACTTATTTTTGTTTGCTTGTATCTTCGCATTGTTGTTTAGGACTGCAACTGATCAGTCTCTTATTAGCATATGTACGTCTAATGAGGATTGCCTCGAGTGAGCATCAACTCTGGGATTCAGGTACATCCAGCTGATGAGTCCTAAATAGGAGGATATGTGCGTCATGGATTTCACTGCTAGCCACCATCAATTCTGTACATCATGCTTGTGACTTGAGGTAATAATCGAGGCAATCCGCACAGAATGCACATATGCCAATAAGAGACTGATCAATTGCAGTCCTAAACAACAATGGGAAAATACAAGCAAACTACACCAAGTGAATTTATAATAATTATTGCTTCTAAGTTGTAAGCAGCTGACAAAATAACTGATTTCACTTTATTCTGCTACACCTGTTCTTGCTTTAATCAAATTAATTTTTGTGTTAAATATTTTGCAGATAGTTGTGTTATTAAAGTAAGTATTATCTAATAATGTTAACTTCTGAATCATAATTGAGCCTCACGATATTACACACTACATTGTTGATTGCGCAAACCTAATATCACTTATTACTACACAATAACAGCTAAACCGTATTCACACCACCATATACAATAAGAAGGAAAGGAATATCATCCTGTATAGGAAAGCTTTTGTTGTTTCCATGAAAACAAAAACAAATAGTGCAAATATTCTGTATACATACCTTATACATAACTCTATAAAAACATGATTCTGCGTACTAAAGGTTTGAAGAACCTATTAACGAGTAGCTAAGTTTAACACGTATTTTCAAGTCACCATATACTTTTAGTATGGAGTGTATGAACTTAAGGAAACATAAAAATTGATATTTTATGGCAATCTTAGCAGATTGTACGGTGATCTTAATAGATGTTACCAGTACTAGGAAAAATGCTATGTATTTTGACGATACACTGGCTACATTATCAAGTATTAGAATACTATATATGAACGTTTTTATAACCGGATACATCAATATAGTTACCTGTCTTAAATTTTTTCCATCGGATACTGGTGCAGTTGGAAGATTCCATCCACTAGATACATTTTTCGGGGATTGGACTAACAAGTACAAAGATTTATCTAACGCACGCCAGGCGGACTTTAAATTTACAGATTTATCATTTTCTAAAAGACATCAAGTGAAAAAATGATTTCTGATAGAAGAAATTACTAGAATGAAGCATTAAATCATTATTCATTGAACGTCAGTGAGAACAGTTGTAGCTCTCACAACCACATTGGGCTACAGATACTCGTTCATAAGATGGGAGGGACCATCTGAAATCAATTCCACGCAGTAATATTATATTCAGGAATAGTTAAAAACGATTACTTCGAATTTTAACGCTGTTTAACTCCAAAGGAACAACTTAACATCATGAAATTTAGCCACTATTAAACCGTTTAAATGGAAAATGAAATAAAACTACAGTACTACCGTTACGAATCTCTGTTTTGAGACATGTGATAAGTTCCAAGACATTCGACTGCATAACACTTAAGACCCTATTGAAGAAGTTGGGGTGCACTGGCAAATATGGCCTTAATATAACTACTCTTCCTTTTGAACGGAGAAGAGGTGCTGCCTGTCCCTCATCCTTTAATAACTGAGCCGCTTCCAACAGTTTTAAGAACCAATTTATACCCATTAAGGATAAGATTTGTACAATTGGTTCTTCAAGTGTAGTTTTATTGGAATCAATTTTCGTTTACCTTCATAAAAGTTAAAAGTTGTCACATACTTTACGAATACTTAGCTGAAGGTGATTAGTTTGATGATTTATTTAAACATGACAGTCTAAACGGTGGTAATTGTATATACATCAATTGTAGATGAGGTGTAGGTTATAGTATTTTACATAAACTGTTGCTTTCATTTGACTGCAAGTGTTAGTAAATCCCAAAATATTTTTTTAACATAGAAGTCGATGAGTTGATATCTGCTCCAAAACAGTTAAGACTGGTTATTTAAAAACTTTCGAGCCATGTTGGTAGATGCGGACTACTGGGTTGGGGTCCGGGTGGCTATCGTAACCAATGGTTGGAGATTCTTGGTGACATGGCTCAGAATCCATCACAATGGCATAGATGTATACACTCTCTGTCTTCCCTTAAACTATGAGATTAAAGTCGCTTCATATCCTTCTAAGTACTAATTCTTTCTTCCTGTACTATATCCTTATATTCAATCCTTCTTTTATATATTACCATCATTGAATTAACTACTTCCATGAATCCGGTGTTCATCTTATTGAGTTAATGCAACTTGGACAACATGGACCGATGCATATATGTGTCTGGTCCTACGTTGTAGCTGACTGACTTTCGAACCCGAGCCACGAAGTCTCCCTACACCTTGCGTTTTTTCTATAAATAGTTTTTTTTACTAGTAATGATGTTGTTACTAATCCTCCTATTCTGGGGTTTGGATCGACAACCTTATTTCGGTGTGTTCTTGTACTCCAACTTGACCTTATTGGAAGAATTATTCCTTTGACGTGTTCATAATTATTAGTGAATATTGTTAACAACGTTTTCCAAGGAACAAATGTACCTCCAACACGAGCTAATATTCTTTTTGGGTGTTAATTGAGTGCATATACGTCGAAATGCCTCTAAATGTTAAAAGAAAATTCAGTTCTACGAATACAAGTTGTTTAAGAAATATTCACTATAAGTAAGCTTTCTCTAAGTGATTTATGATTCGCTATAAAAACAGAAATATTCTAATTATAAGAGATATATTACGTGGTGTGGACAGATCTAGAATCAAAAGTTAAATAAGATCAACTTTTTATCAACAAACCTTAAAAACAAGGGATCTTTTTCAGTAAAAACGATTGAGTCAGAAATAAAATATTCTGACAAAAAAACATACCTGTCAATCTTTCTGCTGGCTTATACTGCTCAGCTTCTAACTCCCACATTATTTCCGCTTCACGAGCAGTTATAAGTGATTCTTGTGCATTATTACTTATTCCATTTGAAAGGGCATTAGCAATTCTTTTGGTTTCAATTTCATGTCTTAATTCATGTGCCGACAAGTGGCTTCTCTCAAAGTCGACCTTTTCAATTAAGTTGGCTACTTGTTTCTCAAGTGGTTTTAATTCTGGTGCAATAACTGCGGGTCGACGTATACACAACCCACTGAAGATATTCCAATTTTTGATATCTTTCAATATAACCAGAGAACGAGACATTACCAACTTACTGTGAGAAAAGGAAAAGAAACATTATTTACTGAATGGTGACAAAAAATGAGTTGATACGTATGCTTCCAATGGAGTCCTTAGTTTGTAATGATATATAAAATTATCCTATACATACACAGGACGAACAATTCATGAAAGTTATATTACCAAGTTCCTGGAATCAATATTATATATATATATATGCTTGTAAGGATAGTGTCACTACTGCACGTTGCCATCACATGGTTAAGGGCAGGTCTGTTACAACTGGAAACTGACAAAATCTTGTAACTGTCTTAAGTGTTCACTGGCTTACGCTTGTAATGTGCAAGCCCTTAAAATGAGGATGAAACCATAGCACGGCTTGACCCATATGTAATGTATTTCGGTTAATATATAACAATTAAATTCGTTGCGTCCACAGAAATGGAGTTATAAAAGAGAAACTCAGGTGGGTACATTTGTAATCAAAAACCAAATACCTAAATGGACATGGCCATCATAATAAAGAGCCACAAAAGACGACACCAAAAAGCTGGAACCCAGATATATAAATAATTCGTACCAGGTGAAGGCATGTTTATGTTTACAAACTTGTTAATTTCTTTATATAGACTCAGAGTTAGTGACTGGGTAGGTAATAAAAATTCATGAACCTCAAGAGAACCTATGGTATTTCCATTTTTTAGATTCTGACGCTTTATCTAAAATAATACCTTTTCTTGGCCAGAGAAGTAAGTAATCAGCTATATGACCTCGACTGTCAAAAATATACAATGACCTACAGACACACTTTCGCGCTTTAATATACAATAGCATCTTGATCTCCACTGTCTTCAATATCTTCCTCATGAGCTCGTATAAACAGATCGGTTTCTTTGGGGTGTTTCTTGTTGTTTCAGTACGGTCCTAGGTATTTGATAATATCCAGTGAGTGGTAGTCTGTCCTTTCGAATGCACTAATTTTAGTCCGTTTGGTAATTACTTGTGGATTTGTATATCGTAGTTGAGTGAGTGCGTTTGTCTCAAGTTAGCAGAGTTTTCGGATACCATCAGCTATTGCAAGGTAGGAGGTTGGCTGACTGCAAAGTGGAAATTATAAAGTGATAATTAAGGTGAAAGAGAAGGCGATTTTTTCAAGAATGATAAGTAAGTTAATCTATTGGTAATGTGTAAGAAGACGGAAGTGAGAAAACAAGAAGGGAAACGAAGATAATAATAGGAAACATGAGAAGAGATTTTTTGTTTTTGGTAGTGATAACCGTGATAATTTTTGAGACATGCATCAGACACAAGTGGTTCAATAGGAAGATGGTGATCCATAGGCGAATACTTGTTTGTGGGTTTTTCATCTCTATCCCGTCCCATGGCGCCAACCGCATATAATGTCGGTCCTGAACTTCCACTAATTGTGACTGGTCGCTTATGGAACTACCTTGTGGGGGGTGTCTTACTTGTTGAGGTTTTGGGATGGGGTGTTGAAATCTGCAAGTAATGATCGATCAAAACCCAGCCATTTTATCTCATCTTATTGGGCGTTAGAAACTTTTGAGGACCGGCATACTTCTCCGATCTACTACTTTATTCCATACACATTTGAGCAACACAAGCATGTGTTTGCCGGCTCGATTAATTTGATAGTGGGGTGCTATGGCTTTGAAGTGATTGCTAATCTACATTGCCACTCCACCTCTTTTTTGTGCACTTTTGTGTATCTGAAAAGTGTTATGCCTTGCACGCTCGTTTTTTCACCCATGATGTCAAGGAAGAGCCATGTTTCAGCTAGGGCCATGATCTTCAGAACTTTTAGAAACTAAACGTTTCCGATTCCTTCCATTTTCCTCCTAATTTTCATTACGTTGTTATAGAGGCACTTGACGGTTTGTATAATCACCTGGTACCCTATGATAATTAGGAGTATTTGAATTATAGTATATACTAAGAATCCCAGAAATAATTTAATCGAATCAAGAAGTATTAGATAATCACAAACGAATGTACAGTATTTGGAATTCGAAATCAAGCATTCAACAAGTATAAAGGAATCATTAGTTCATTATTATGGCTTTAGCCCAACCGAGATATGAGAGGACCGGTTAACTTTTCGTGCCTATAGGTAACCCTCGTGCTATTGACAGAAGAAACCAGACAAGTAGTGAATAGGTCTTTATTTCGATCTTAGCGCAGTCACAGTGGAGCGTGGGATTATCTGTTCAGACAAACAAAGGCTCTCAACATTCAATATAAGATAGTAGGGAATATAACGCTTATAAAAAATAAGGAAGTGAATGAATACTTGAGCAATACCGTTTTGGCATATGCTTGGTTGTTTGGGGTCGACTCTTAACCAACCAATCTAAGCTGTTACATTAGCTTCCCCCTAGAATCGACTTCCATAGGAACGTCGGTTCGATTAACCTATCTATCGAAAACACCTTAGTTCTATTTCTCATCCCAAGGGAAAATTATCAACTCGCTCATTATTTGACTTATAATCAGTGACGACTAACGCTGTCAACGATAGTGCATGGATGTCTCTTCATTTACTAGCTTGTCATCTTATTTTGTAGCATGTGATCTCTTCTGCAACTATCGCTGACGGTTTGCTGCGTGCTTTCAAGAGAAAGTGCGAGAATGTGGAATAAGAATATCTGAGGAAGTGCCGCGAGTGAGCTACCCAACACCATGTTGGTGAGGTACGATTTTTCCATGCTCAGACCGACTATCAGGTGTTTACTCACCTGCCTCTTGAGTCGCCCTCAAGTAAAAAGTAAAGAAGAATCTACTTCAAAGGTAATGGTGAAAATCAAGCAAACCTGAAGAACTGCTCCACTGCCTGCATAAAATAATAAGATACAAAATGGAAATACATAAATGTAATTGATAATTGTTCGGTTCCATGTAAGTGCTTGGTCTCCAGAACGGATTGGTATTCTGGAAGAGAATAGACATAGTGTAGATATCTTGTGCACGAAAAACCATGAAAAAAAAACTCTTTTGTAATGCATATATGTAAAAGGGTGAACTTGCTAGAAGTTGGACTCTTTAACAAAATCGATCAAACGCGTGACCTTGAGCCTGTGATGACCTCGTTTTATAACTAGGTGCGTAACCAAGGGTGCATCAGAATACTCCACGAAACGGAAAAGAATATACGGTTAAGAAGCAAAAAAACTGGGTAGAGTATGCGGATCAAGTACAGTTGTGTCAAATACCCTTTTCTTGTTTGATTTAGGTATGCATGATATATTGAAGCAATATATCGTCGATTCATCCAAGTAACGAATTGGTTTGCACCTCAGAAGTGTGTAAGTCCTATTACTCATTAGTATTATGAGTGATTAATTGGTGTAAGAAAATATTGAAGTCACTTCCTCCGTGGTCTGATGTGGCTTAACGGCTAAGCACGCGGTCTAGCATTCAGGAGGGCAGAGGTTCGAGTGCGTGTGGCGCCTGCGTTTTTGTTCACCAGACCCACCTTCAATGCGATGTTTGTTGCCCGTAAGTCGCGCACATATGAGAGAAAAAATGACAAGAGGACAGATTGATATATCAAAGTGCCATATTGGAAAAGTATAAGTTCTTTGTTTACATTAATATTATTACTATAGAAAAAAAAAACAAGTTTAGTAAATTTCCATTTTACGTTATATGTATATATATATATATCAGTTATTGACATAAAATGTCTTTTTTATAACGGTAGTGTTAAGTTCCACGACTTTGTATGGGCCACTTATAATAATTGGTTTAATGCTAGCATAGCCGTGATATTCATATCGTCAGTTCAATGTTATGATTACTAAACAGTTCCCTTATAAGTTGTGTTTAGAATTAGGTATGTGGAATCAATGCGGCTAACATAGTAACCTTACAGTAACGCACTGTACTATATTTTCACAGTTATTGATTCTTAAATGTCAGAAATTAAAAAAAATCTGAATGTTGCCGATAAATATGGGTTATATGATCACACTAAAAAGCATGCTGAAGGAGAACTGGTTAAGTTATTGCATAAGTTTCCTAAATAGGAAAAAAAATGATGAGAACCTTAATAAGTACTTGACCACGGTTTAATCCAAAATGTTTTGTCTAGAAAACCACTTATTAATAGTAGTATTGATCGTATCAAGCCACTAAACATATCCTCAACCGAAAACTTTTAGAAGTAGTTCATATGGTATATATGTATAGCCAGTCTACGTGAAAAATGTATATAGATATATAAGAAGTACAGCCAACATAGTTAAATAACCAGAATAAGAAATTATAAAACTTGCCTGGGTTGCTTTTTGAATTCTTTGTATTTGCCAATGTTAGTTGTATGAGTTTGATTAAAATCCTCAGCCATCGTTGCGGAATACCTAGCTTATGTGTCCAGTATTTTTTTAAAAAAATTATTAACATAACACTTATATATCAAAGGTAAAAGGTCTGGGGAGTTGTAGGTGAGGCGGAATGAGGGAAAAAAATATTTTTAAGTAAATGCAGGGTCTGATTAGCTACGTGATTAGATTTTATCCTGCAGCCGAAATTGTCAACATCCTTGACTGACTGATCGGATGTGCCCAGCGAACCGTTTTAGTCATTTGTAAAGATTTATCATCTTTACATTTTGATTCCGTAATGGATTTGTCAGTTAAACGATCTAACAACACGTATGGTGGTTCATGATCTAGATAAGCCGGCTTTAGCCTATCAATACTTACTGTGTCGATGTTTCCATGTTTTTCTATCACGAAATATTTAGATTTTCTTGAGACGACTTTGAAAGGACCTTCAAATGGAGGACTGAGTGGTGCTTTTATTTTGTCACATCTTATCCAGACGTGCGTGCAATTGCTTAGGTCTTTAGGTATATATACGGCGCGCGATTGTTCACGAGTATTAATCGGCTTAATTTTAGACATGTGGTCCCGTAGTTGATCTACATAATTTTCTAAATTAAGTTTTTGACTGTTAGTATTAGGGTTAACAAATTCACCGGGTAGTCTCAGAGTTGTTCCGAAAACCAGTTCCGCAGCTGAACACTGTGCGTCAGTTTTGACAGATGTTCGTATTCCCAACATAACTAATGGTAGGAATTCTGTCCACTGATTGGGGTTTGAGTGAGATATAAGGGCGGTTTTTAGCTGACGGTGAAAACGTTCTACCATCCCATTAGCCTGAGGATGATATGCAGTGCAGCGTATCCTATTGGAGCCTAGAAGTTTAGCCAAGTTATTAAATAGTTCGGATTCGAATTGCGCTCCTCTATCCGTCGTTATTGTTATGGGTGTACCAAAAATGGTTACCCAGTTCTGCATGAAAACTTTGGCTACTGTTTCCGCTGTGATGTCCGCTATCGGGATGGCTATAGGGAATCTGGTAAATCGATCTATGCATGTAAAAAGATAATTAAAACCGTTTGAACGTGGTAAAGGACCTACCAAGTCGATATGCACATGGGCAAAACGTGCATCTGGTTGCGAGAAAACACCTATGGGTGAATTTGTGTGACGATTAATCTTTGATTGTTGACATGCTGAACACTCTCTAACCCATTTGTGTACATCCTTCTGTAAATTCGGCCATATATATCTGGCATTGATTAGTTTTGTTGAAGCTTTCGCGCCAGGATGAGACAAAGAATGAAAGTTATTATATATCAACTTTCGCATATTTTTGGGAACGAAAGGTCGCGGCATTGCCTTGGTCGTGTCACAATAAATTAGAATACCATCGATAGGTGATGGGAATTGTTTTAAATTAAGACTTGAATTGTTTGTTTTAAGTAGGTTTTGTAATTCTAGGTCCTGCTCTTGTTCG